CCCCAAAACCCCAAAACCCCAAAACCCCAAAACCCCAAAACCCCAAAAAATCATCACAACATTTTTTAAATAAATTTATAAGATATTAAATCAAGAGAGCAATCATGAGATTTATGACAAGTAAGCAAGACCCTTTTCTTCCAGAAATTTCTTATTAAATGACTATTTAAGATTGATTTTGGAAGATTAGACCCTCCAGTTTTTACTAAATCTATATTTTGTGACAATTTAGAAGAATTTTTAGATTTTGTTGTAAAGATATCATATAGGAGTTATTATTACAACAGTACTTATGTTACTTGTAGCGGTGTGGTATAAGGCTAGAAGGGCAGACAGATTTAAAATCACACGTATGTCGTCTGATTATGAGAATTTTGAGCGGTAACTTATAGCTTACACAAAATCTGCCATGGATTCTTTCAGGAAGAGCATTGATTTGAAGTGTAATCACAAGCACAACATCGACTTCAAACCGATCAACACTACGAAGACTTTATTTACTCAAAATGGTTTAAACTTCACTATCTGTCAAACTCTTGAAAAACCAAAAATGAGTGTTCATCATTCCTACAATTTTAGAAAAGATTTCTCAAAGAAGACAGATCCCTTTATGGGAGATATTCCAGAAGGCTTGGTAATCGCTCATAGCTTCAATGAGAAACATATGCTTCTTCTAAATAAATATGCTATTCTACCGAAGATGTTGCTCATAGTGGCAAAAGGCAGCCATTTTGAGACACAAAATGTACCGCTTGATTTCTACGATATGGAAGGAGTGACTCTAGCCATGAGAATTGTCAAAAATCCTGTTATATTCTTCAATTGAGGGCAGTCTGCTGGGGCTTCCCAGCCTCACAAGCACATTCAAGTGATCCCAATAGAATCATTTGATGAAGCTCATGGGTGTCATCTACATAAAAGAGTCATTGAGTTCAGAGAGAATGCTAAAGTCTCAGAAGGAAAGCACAAATTGCCAGAATTCAATTTCAAACATGAGCTGAGGTTTTTAGAGTATGATTTCTATATTATTTCATTATTTTGGGCAGTAAATAATCCTCTTTTTTAGTGAAGACTTGACTAACCAGCTTTCAGACTTAAACGCTAACCAGAGAGATGTGACTAAAAACTTACTCAGAATTTACAAAGGTAAGCAGCCAGATTATGGGTGTTCTTCATTGGTCTAGACATACTTAAAAGCCTTGGGATTCATCCAGAAAAGCCTCAGTATGGGTTTAATTTTATTGTCACAAAAACATACATGCTGGTAATTGCTAGAAGCACATTTGCTCATACTAACATGAGGTAAATTAGCCTTTACTGTTTAGAGAGGATAAAGATCTTCCACCCTACAGGCCTAACTCCATGGCTTTCCTTGGGCAATTCTACAGTAGGACAGATGTAAGCACATTTTGATTTTTTAGGAACAATCAAATAATTTTGTCAAGGAAGGGTTTATGAACATTCTAGAGAAATGCAGTGTGAAGGAGCACAGCTCTTTCTCATTGGATCAAGGTTCTGCTGAAAAATAAGTTGATACATTTAGTTGTTAAATTCAAGTTCCAGCAGTGCTCGTAATTTATTTTAGTTGGCCTTCTCATAAAAATTATATGAGGTCCGAGAGAATGGGGTTTTGGGGTTTTGGGGTTTTGGGG